AGATGCCGGGATCATGCTTATATTTCACTTGCAAAGTAGGATTTCTGAATTCCATTTCCTGTTTACGTGTAATCGCTATGGGAGATGTTTTGGTATATCGGTAACGCACTTGACTTCCAACCTCGAGATCCCTGGTTCGAGTCCGGGTGTCTCAAACACTTTTTTCTTCTACTTTTTTTCCTTTTGACCTTCACTGTACCATCTCCTTTGATTATTTAAACACGTAGATTCGCAAATAATGTCATAAATAACCCTTTTTACTTTATTATTACCCTATTTTCACTTAATCCATTACTTTTTGCGTGTAATCCCTATGGGAAATGACTTTTTCTCAAATCTGGAGTCTACATTCCTGTCTTTTGCGAGCAAAATCGCCGTTATTTCGGGTTGGATTTTGTTGATTTTGGAGTATGTTGTAGCTGAGATTATATGCTATCTAAATCAACCCTTATTTTTTCAATAAGATGTCATGATCGCGCTCATGATCATGATCATGATCATCACGATCATCATTATCATAATGATGCTAATCATTTATCAATTACATTTTCATTTCTTTGAATAAGATAAAATCGTCAAAAGGTGTTCTTCATGATGTAAATTAGAGTCAAATGTGTAACTGGTTACTGCACAGGGTCAAAGGTCATATATTGTTTCAATCTATCTTCCCTAGATCCATGATGATCAAGGAGACACAATTTAATCTTGACATATGAATAGATCATAATGGGAGAAGCATATGAATGGGAGAAGCAAAATAATATATCGTGTAATGCATTATTCGTTATGTAAACCATTATCATACGTATCACCTAATTCGTCTAAGTGACGAATTAAAGTCTAGTTATTATTGTTATCAAAGTTGTATTATTAGGTGGTCTGTCGGTATCGACAGATCACCTATTGTTTTCGTCAGAATTTTCTTTCTTTCTTTATTTCTTTATCAGGTGAGCTGTCGGTGTCGACAGATCACAAATTTTTTTCGTCTGAATTTTCTTTCTTTCTTTATTTTTTTATTAGATGGTCTGTCGGTATCGACAAATCACCCATTGTTTTCGTCAGAATTTTCTTTCTTTATTTATTCTTTATTTTTATTTATTTCTTCACACTTTTTTGTTCACAGGATAACTCAAGATCGGTTCAGTCAATTTCGTTCAATTTTGGCACAGTCATAGGTCTTGTCATAAGACGTGACAGCAATCTTTTCAAGGTCTTTATGACGTCATCCAGGAGCCATTTTTAAAAAAATTTTTTTTAGGTTCTTTCAACTCATGATCATATCTTCATGACGGAAAGGCATTTCCTATTCATATTTATCATGATTAAGGTCAATATCCGTCCGGTCAATTTCAGGTCAAAAAAACGCGCGCGCATGCGTACGTCCGCGCGTAAAATTTCAAAATGCTCGAAATCGTCTCAAATTCATTTTTGTATACGTTTCAGGCCATTTAAAGCATTTCGCAAAAAACGCGCACACGAGCATGCGCGTGCGTTTCGCGCGTCCTGGCATTTTGAAACATAGAATCACCAAATGTTCTCTGTCATCATATTTGGCACATTTTTCCAAGCATTTTGATACCTTGTTCACCTTTTTCTGACCATTATTAACGGAATGAGCGTCCGTTTAAGATACATGTCCGTGTGTGCGAGCTCTTGTAATACATAGCATATATGGGCAAAAACATGCCTATACAAGGTCCATTGTAGCTCGTTAGGATGCAAGGTTACCCCAATTTTTTCCTCCATATTTGGATAGACTTTGAGTCGCAGATATGATTTCATGTCTTATTTGACCCACAATTAACTCATGACGTCATTATACTGGCCTCCAAACTAAAAAAAATCAATTTGCATATTATGACGTCAGCATATTTAAAAAAAAAAAATTGTATGTCTGTAAATATTGATCGATTTTCTGTGGTTAGCTTCGTTTTCGCTGAGCATCGAGTATGTTGTAGCTGAGACAATAAGCTATCACATGTGTGCCCTTTTTTTCGATCAGATGCCGGAATCATGCTCATATTTGACTTGCAAAGTGGGATTTGAGAATTCCATTTTCCGGTTACGTGTAATCGTTATGGGAAATGTTTTGGTATATCGGTAACGGTAACGCACTTGACTTCCGACCTCGAGATTCCTGGTTTGAGTCCGGGCGTCTTCAACAATTTTATTCTTCACTTTTTTTTTTGTGGACCTTTTACTGAACCATCTCCTTTAAATATTAAAACACGTAGAATGGAAAATAATGTAACAAACAACCATATTTACTTCATTATCAACCTATTATCACTTGATCGATTACTTTTTTGCGTGTAATCACAATGGGAGATGACTTTTTCTCAAATCTGGATTCTACATTCCTGTCTTTTGCGAGCAATATCACCGTTATTTCTGCTTGGTTTTTGTTAGATTTTTAGTATGTTGTAGCTGAGACAATATGCTATCTATTATATACCCTCATTTTTTCGATCAGATGTCAGGATCACGCTCATGATCATGATCAACATGATCATGATCATCAATATCATCATGATCATCATTTGGTCTGATGATGATGATGATCATCATAATGGTCTCATGATGATCATCATCAACATCATGATGATCATGATGATGATCATCATCAACATCATCATGATTATGATGATCATCATCATCATCAACAATATCATTATCATCATCATCTTTATCACCATTACTATCATGATGATCATCATGTTCATCATCATCATCATCATGATCATCATTGTTAACATGTCTATAAAACTTCTCCCTTTCTCTATATTGTAAATATTCAAATCTATCATAAGATTTGAAGGCAGATCACCTAAATCGACCTCATGACGAATTAAATTTATATTTATTATTATTATCATTATTTCTATTATTATTATCATCATCATCATCATTATTATTATTATAATTATTGTTAGTAGGCATACTATAGTAGTAGCAATCAGCAGTTGTAGTACTTCAATTATCATTTGCCTTAATTACAGGCCCATATAGCAGTAGTCGCAATACTAATATCACAGACAATTCACGAAAACGTCTAGATCTTTGTTTCCACCTTATCACCATTTATTTATTTATTAATTTAATTTTCTAAGTCTCTAATATTACACAGTAGTTAAGATGATAGCAGAGCTACTTTTAAATAATCGATCACTACATTAAACACAAAAATATTTTGACGACACAGTAGGGCCTACATAATAATAAATTTGAATGTTCATTGCAACTCATTAAGAATCAAAAGAGATCATGGCTGTCAAAAATATGAAACAATTCGATACAAAATAAAAGAACTAAAATCAGTGCTACCGCAGGATATGTTCACTTTTTAGGATTCAATGAAAGCAATTTTGCACTTTATTATAAATCACAAGAAAGGTAAAAAGATCAAGGTAACTACATTTGGGTACGCATACTTTGTAGGATTATTATTGTTGTAGGCGCTTCGGGCCGCTCTGGGAAAAGCGCAGTATATAAATAATAATAATAATAATAATAATAGGCCTAATAATAATAATAAGAAGAAAAAGAATTGGGAAATGAACGTGGTGGAAGTGCATGTAATCTATTCGCGTCATCACACACGATATTCGATGATGCACATGCTACATACGTAGGATAGTTCCTGCTTCGATCAGACATGAATATTCAAGAGAATCGAGACTTTCCCGACCCTGCGTAATATATATTCATGATATAATACGAATCTGGGCTCGCCGTGGTACGAAAAAATAAGACGCTGCCGGGACGCGAATTTGCGATTCCCAAACCATTCAGCTATGGGAGACTTTATGAGCAACGTGATTGGTCGAGAGAAGAAAATAAATATTACATCATTTACTGCACGCTCGGGCTCGCTCACAGCTGACACAGACACACAAACACTCACAATGTTAGTCTGCAAGCACAGACTCTAATTTGACACTTTACGAAAGATATCATGTCTGAGAGAAGTCTATCTACATGAAATGGCCTACTGTAGTCTCACGATTCAGACTCTGTATATGTGCCTGCAAACTACTCACATGCCTTAGAATTCTGCTACTGAAGGTGTGTATCAGTAACGAGCAGAGATGGTATTCATACTCAATAGGGAGAGTATCCTGCAATGAAAGGAATTATACTCAGATCATTAATACAATTACATTTGCCAGTTTGTTAATGCACTTTTAAGAAGAATTAGCCACCAAGAATGTGATATCCTGTAGTCTATCCTGTTTGAACAATACTCATGGCTAGATATACATGTATAGTCGAGATAAATTAATTTAATTTTGGAAACTTTCTCTAGTTTTACCATTTTAATCTGTTTGAGGATTTCTGACCTGGAAATTTTGGAATGCCTAATATGCCTAATCCTTTCATCAAACTCTGATTATTAGAACAACTGCTGGGCCTCTCTGCAACCCCTTTTGTCCCCCAGACTCAAGCTCTCATTTATACATAGACATCTAGACTAGTAAAGTTAGACTCCCCCCCCCCTCCCCCAATAAATAATGTTCCATTTTTTATTTTTTATCATAGGTCTATAGATCTAGGGTCTAGATCTAAAAAAAAAAAAAAAATCATCCAATCGATATCTTTATTTCGTTAGAACATACTTGACGGTTAGAGTACCATGTGCGTCGATCGCCGCGTGCTCGGCATTTTTTTGCTTGTCTGCGCTGCATTCACCCACCGTCCACACACACATACAAGGTATCTGATCGGTCGATCAATTACATATGTATGCGCAGTAAACAGCATACGTATGAAACAGGCATTAGTATGCTATCGCACCGTGCAAACGTTTGATAAATAAAAGGCGCTGATTGGGCAATTAGCAAACATTTGCTAAGTCAGATGCGTATGCCGCGATCCATAAGTATGCCCCAAACAAATAATGTCCTCAACGGCTTTCCATAGGATAGCACCGTGCGCGGTATGATAGTATACGCACGTACCGCGACCGTTAACGATTGTATACATAATTGAGAGTTCGAACCCCTTTGACAGTATACAGTATGTAGTAGCGGATGTAGCATGTACACGCATTGCGTGCTCCGAATCGGTGAATATTGCAGTTGAATACTACTATTATCCAGAATGTACTTGAGGATCTTTGCGTCCTTGGATTTATTTTTTGTAGCAGGTGAGTTATAACAAATGAAGGTGTATGAGACTTTGAAATGTATAGGTGTACTGTTGTACAACCAGTTCGTCCAATACCCAATTCTCATATACAGTGTGAGTCCAACAAAAAGCTTGAACCTAGAAAATTGCTAATTATTTTAAAAATCATCTATGAACAGTATATTATTAATCATCTTATGAAAGAGTGTTTTATCCCAAATCATTTGGTATTATTTGTGTGTGGTATGTGTTCATGTTTGGATGAACACGAGGCATTGTTTGCGAGAGTGCAAACATCGACTTGCGCCAAAGTTGCTTATGTGATGTTTAAATAAACCAATTAGGATTTGGGTATTAAATCGGTTTTTGCAGGTCCAAATAACATCCCTTACAAAATGCCAAACATATCACATATCGAATATCAAATAGCAACGAACATGTGTGCGCGTGTGTGTGTGCGTGTGTGACTTTGCTTCTACAAAAAGCATATGCAATGCATCTCTCACTCCGCTAATCCCAACATAATACATGCTGTAGGCATCACTTTGGCGCAAGTCGATTGTTGCACTCTCGCAGACAATGCCTCCTGTTCATCCAAGCGTTAACACATACCACACAAAAATGATACCAAATGATTTGGGATAAAACACTCTTTCATAAGATGTATAATAACTTTTCTGATTTTTAAAATAATTAGCAATTTTCTGAGTGTAAACTTTTTTTTTTTTACTCACACGGTAGTATACACCCAGGCCTAGTCTGTCTATTATCCACATGTTCTAATAATCGTTTCGTCTACTTATCATTTAGTATTTAATGACCATTTGCCGTTTGACCCTACAGGCTACTTCCAGTTCGTCTCCTTATCAATTGACTGGTCCATTCTTAGATGGTGTACATGGAAACTATGGTTTAGTTTGTTATACTCTTTGTCAGATTCGCTGTTATTCTTGTTTATACTACTACGCTTTTTTCCCTCTATGTAACATATGTTTTATGGACCTCTGCCTTGTGCAGCTGGGTCTGAAATATAGTTCTGAATTTAAGTGGTCTCATAATTCGTTTCTACTTCCTGTCTACAAAAGAAACACAACTGTTCTGACTCAAAACCAAATTTAAAGAGCTGTCTTTTCGTATAAACAGCCCCTTTTAATTGTTTGTGTTGAAACTCTCTTAGTTTATTACATAACATTGCACATTTCATCCTTGGGAAGTTTCTTTCAATTCCCTCATTCCAACATGATATTTACAGTAACTCTCTGTTACATGTAATGTGTAATATTTTTGAAATTCTTCAATAAAGTAATCATATAACCGCCTAAACTTTATATCACATAGTTTCTGTAAACATCTAAATATCATCAATTCTATTTCAAAATGTTCAGTGTCCACTTCAACTCACTTTGTATCCATTCTTCTCTGATTGCTGAAAAGATCTTTTGAATTCTAGATTGTAAGATTGGTTTGACGATTTATATTTCATGCTTGAATTATACATTTCTGAAATAATCCCTTGCTAAGACATATGCACTTATTATTACAAATAACGGGATTATTCTTATTTTCTCCCTAATGTCTGCACTTATCTAATTGTTGCCATGCTTTCAACATGTCTTTATACAACTCTGGTCTACCATTTAAGTCAATTTTATTTATGTCATAATTACAAAGAAATTTAATTCGACCACGGTACCACCCAGTGATCTGAATAAAAAAAAAGTGGTCGAAGGTTACTTTTATCCATAGAGCAACAGTTTAATCCACATTATTCTCTGAGTCTTGACAAATACCTTGAAATTCGTTACTCTGAGTCCCCCAACGCAGTAATCTTGATATAATATATTTAACGTTTTATTCTGTCTCCCCTTCCCCAAATAAAATGTTAAATGAAATCTTTTCAATTTCTTCGAAAAAATGAGAGACGAAACATAATTCAATTTTGAAAATATACAAGATACATTTTCAACAATTCAATTTTGCCAAGCATCGTTAAATCCCGTTGCTTTCACCAATCGCTTAGTATTTTGATTTTGCTCAACATTTCCTGATAGGTCAATTCAGCGTTTATTTTGGAATAACGTGCGAAATGTACCCCTAGGATTTTTATATGTTGTACCTAATGTCCGAACAGAGGTAAACCCGGCCTATCACTTACATGTACCTCTCCCAATCACACACAATTTGTCGTATCCATATTTATCTTCAATCCACTTTAATTCAAGTTTTTGATAACTTTCTTTTCACTCTATCAATTGAATTCATATATTTTAAAAACAATATAATATCATCTGCATACAACACTTGTTTTATTTCTCTACTCCCAAATCCTACTCCTTCAATACTCCTATCGTTCCTAATTACGTCAACTTCTGTGTAGACGCAAAGATCCCGCGCGTCACGACGAAAATATTTCCGAATAATAAACCGTGGGTCTCCAAAGAACTTAGGACTTGTTGAAATTAAAAGATCGTGCGCTTACCATTGGAGACAGGGTAGAGGTTAGAAATGTTCAGAAAAGGATCAAGACAGAAGTAGATTCAAACAAGGAGATTTATTAAGATAAGATTGAGGAAAGCGTTAAGGAAAATGATCCCATAAGCGCATGAAAGACACTACAACGCGTAACTGGTTACAAACAAAAGTCATTCGTTCCTGAATTCGATTCTTGTCAGACATTTGTCGATAAATTAAACAAGTTCTACTGTAGATTTGATACACACGACTTCTCTCAAGAAAACTTTTTCATTAATCGAATTAATAATGATATATTCGATGATAATGTTAGGGGCATTAAATTATATTCGATCATGACGTTAGAATAGTGTTGGTAATATTGGTGTGAACAAGGCCCAAGGTCCAGACCGTCTTTGTAATAAGGTGCTTAAGAGCTGTAAAGATCAGCTGGCAGGCGTTTTTAAATGACTATTTCAGCTCTCATTTGAACGGGGGATAATCCCTACATTGTGGAAAACTTATACCCAAAGGGAAAAACCCTATTGAAATGAATAATGATTTTAGACTAATAGCCTTGACATGCAGCATCCTGAAATGTTTTGAGAAAATCATTTTGAAATGTTTGTTAAAGCAAACTTCATTTCACCAAGACCCAATGCAACTTGCATACAGACAAAACAGGGGTGTGGAAGATGCAGTTTCGCTTCTCTTGCATAAAGTGTATTCACGCTTAGATAGTCCTAGGACGTACATTACATGTAGGTCGGTTTTTATAGACTTTTCTAGTGCATTCAATACCATCATTCGCCACATGCGTTCAAGGAAGTTAATAGGGACTTTTAGATTCGCACGAAGACAATAGGTCTATGCTACGATCGACGTCCTGTTAAAGCACTGCCGTGAATGGAAGTACCACGTATCAGTCCACGCAAATCTTAAAGTCCCTAATACACATGAGTGTACACCCACAGATTGTTACGGTGATTCATGATTTTTGTGTTGAATAGGTCCCAGCATGTGAAAGTGGGTCACACCGTTTCTGATGATCGTGTAGTTAATACTGGTGTGCCTCAGGAGTGTGTATTATCCCAGTGCTATGTTTACTGTACATAAGTGATTGTGTTAGCACGGAGGCCAACTGTACTTTCATCGAGTACGCCGATGACACAGTCATCACAGGATACCTCTCCGGTGATGCCAACTGTTATTTCGCAGTGCTTGATTCTTTTATGGAATGGTGTGACTCACATTTCTTGCAACTCAATATATCAAAAACTAAGGAAATTATCGTAGACTTCCGTAAGAACGTACCGGATGACCATGTACCTCTCACCATACATGATGATGTAGTAGAACACGTGAAGGAATATAAATACTTGGGTACTACCATAATAAACTGTCTGGATTGGTCAAGCAATGAACATGCCACACAAAGAAAGCTAATCAGAGATTATATTTCTTGAGACAACTCAAGAAAATGCACTTAGATAATACTATTCTTGTGTTGTTTTATAAGTCGATCATCCAGTCCATTATCTTGTTAATTTAATTAGTTTTTATGGCAACCTAACATGTAACAGTAAGAAAGCGCTTGAGAGACCACGGATAAAAGCTCAGAGAATCATTGGTATTGTACTGCCCAACATGGAAAAGTTGTATGGTGAGGGTTCACTAGCTAAGATCATGCATATCATGACAGATCCAACCAATCCTTTGTTCAGTCATTTTAGTTTCAATAGATCTGGTGTTCGCCTTTGTGTCCCCCGTACCAAGCGGGTTTGCATTAGAAACTCATTTGTCCCTGATTCCATCCACATGTTCAAAAATTGGCCAGGTCTTGGTATCGTAACAATCACTGTACACAGAAAGATGTATATGGGACTACACAAACATGTGGCATAAAAATCAGGCCTCATATTTAAGCTGTTACTTTTCAAATTTAGAATATGGAGGCATTTGAAGAGCCATGCCTTTCTGGGAATATTTTTTCCCTGATGTTCTTTCACATTTGCATAATGATATTGGTTAAATAAGCCAGTGCCTTTAATTTGACACACTTAAACGATATATGTACAGAGGATAAATATCATCTAACCATAGTTATATACGCCTGAATGAATAATATTACATATTTGGCTAATAACATTTGGACACCTTATAGATTGAAATTTGGGATACCAAAATTGTTATACGCATATCTTATCTCCACATATTAAGTTTTGCTATCCTCGAATGAATATGAGGCTATTTTGTTATATGATTTTGAGATTAATATCTATGTTTATTTGCAATTTAATAAACAAGTGAGCAGTCTGTACATAAAGAGATTGATTTTTTTATTTTTGTTTAGAAATTACAGATTAGTTTGTTTCACTTTTAATCGACATTGATCTACTTCAAGAATTGTAAATGTTGTAAACATTGTATGATACTGTAGACTTTTATATGATTTTTTTTAAACTGATAATTTGAATATAATGTGTGTCTATGTGAATGCGCGCGGATTGCCCATATATTATGTGTGAAAATGTAAGGTTTGAATGGAAGCCTGACCCTGATGATTATAGGCTTCAATAACAAAAGTAATACAGATTTGGGCTCAATGGAATGCTTTTAACTACAGGTCTTAGGATTATAAACTTGATCGGTTGGTCATATCTGTACGTATCACATATAATGTCTGTTTACTGATTAATTTGTTAAAGTGGAAATTCAAAGGAAATCACAAATATGTCAACTAATGTATCACTAGGAAATGGTAAGCTAACAGATGGCCATCGTACAAGTTTTAGGTCAACTACATATCAGGGTGATTTATAAATATACAAATACAACCACCTTCATAGCAGCTGGGATATACGAGAGATTCGCCAGAAAAAATAACGATGTTTTAATGACGTCACTATATGGACCAACACCGCCCAAGCAGACGACATTCCATATAGAAAGAACATAATTGAAAAGCTATTATTTCTCAAATTATATAATGAGTTTAGTGCATTTAAATGTGATGGCATTTCAAACCATTCAAAATGGGATATGAAACCGATTCTGATAACTAAAGTCATTCGTTTGTAAATACACAAGATAGGGGTTAATTAACGATCAAAGAAACCAGACTTTCAAATTGAAAAACCCCCGGAATGATATAAAGGATGGCATTTGTTCCCTCTTGAAACGCCGAACATACCGCTGTGTGTGCAGCTCTTATTGCGTCTTATTTTGTTTACAAGCGATAGATTCATTTATTTTTGTATCGCTGCATTTGTCGTCAAATTAAAATCTTGCGCGGGGTTTAGAGTGAGGCAATAGATTATACATTTAGTCTGACGATAGTGCAGTAAGAGAAAGAACTCAAGAGAAGATGCACAAACAGGCACTGAAAATGAGTGAGATGTAGACATCGTCTGCTTGTGCAAATCATGTCTATCCTGTGATCTCACACATCTCAGCAGCGTTCGGAGAGCTATTCAGGTATATGCCGGGGCTGTCTTTAAGCGTTTTATAATTCATAATAATCATTACTTCGAATATTTCCAAGCATTGAATGTTGATACCTTGTCGAATCAAAGTTTCAAATTTGCAACAATGAAAATAAAGTTATTTTTTAATCAATGAATATCTACTTTGGGCTCTGATATTTGTTTATCAAGCTGATGAATGTACTCACCCGTAAGCTCGTTTTCTCATATTCTTTTTTTCTCTAGGCATAACTTGCGCAATGGAATTCGAAGTCAAGACACTGGAAGTAGGCACCTTAGGATCAATCCCGTGTGACCATATTGAAGACGATCCCGAGGTTCGTCTAGTACAGTGGTACAAAAGCAGGAGAATCGAAGCATTTGAAAACGGTGATGCCAGTCTGGCATCGTGGGAGGATGGAAGAACTGAAAGCCAGCCGAACTACCACATGGACATTACCACTTTCTCCTTGGTTTTTGACAAGCCTACATTGGAAGACGAAGGTCTCTACAAGTGCTCTGTGGAACGTGGAGACTTGTTCATTGAGTCACACTACTTCACCCGTACGGTTATGTATGGTGAGTGTCATTTTTGTTAAACGGCAATTGAGTGAACGCAGAAAAAGCAGGGGCACAGATTGGTGAACGTTTACACAAGATCTGATAATGATCAAGAATGTTATGAATGCTTGAATATCAAACTCACTAAAGATGTACATATAACATGCAAAACCATAATCGATAAATTAGTCATTCGACTAATTTGCTTTCCACGGGTAAAAGCTCACAAATCAAATTACAAAAAGAAATAATAAAAATTACTTACAGTTACAGTAATGGTAAAAAAAAATACATTCAAAATAGCTTAAGTTCTGTAAGATACACGAAATAAGTTGTGTACGATGAGGATGTCAACAGAGCGAGAGAGTAGAAGAGGACCAAAGATAGGTAGGGGCGGATGAGTTGGATAGAGCAGTGAAGAGAAGATGGAAAGAGAGAAAGTCAACATGAGGTGGTAGATGATAATAAAGGGGGAATACAATGCCATAAAGAAACAATTAGTGAGAACATTTTCAAAGATTCTGGGGTGAGAGGAAAGCAAGGGGCAAACGAATAAATAGTTAATTTTGCAAGACATGGGGTCTTCCAAATCAATTCAATTCAGTTGATTTCATCCTTTAAAATACATATACAATAATTCATGGAGCCCCTAAAGAAGTTTGAATAAAAACTTGTGGTTGCATTACAAACTTTTAAAGAGAACATATTTTGTTTTTTGTTTTTTTAATTTAAAGACAGTTTATCTCATTGCAACCAGATAACAACATTATGGAGTCTCTTATTTAACAGGTGAATTAGTGTGCTGATTTTCTTGTTCGAAAGAGTAATACTGGTGTCATCCGCAAAAAAAGTGTAAAATTAAGAATTGAAGAACAATTTATAAAATCATTAATCATTCAGGATGAACTATTTTACACGGAAGTACATCTCTTTAAACGATAGCGACGCGTGCAGGATTTTACTTCGGACTCATTATACTGTTCATATCTACCGATGTTAACAAACATTATCACCACTAAAAATGCGCCCCTTCTAATAAGAATAAATAGAATGTCCCTTGATACAACATAAAAGCAAACAATACCGTAGGGATCCATATATATTTTCAGTAGAACTCACGTTTGTGAACATCTGTGGTAGTAAGATAACGTGTCACATGTTCATCTCACTCCAGGAAGTTTAAAGTCTTCTAAATAACAGTTCACTGTAGTTATTCCTTCTTTTTTTTTCTTCATGTTTAGCTCTGCCTCAGAAGAACCCGGAGATAACTTTAGACAAGGATTCGAACCTTCTTCATTGCACTGTTGAGCACGTGAAGCCAGTACTATACCCGGTGTTCGAATTCGACGGGAGTCCTGACAGTACTGAGATCCATGCAGTTCTGAATGAAGACGGAACGTACACGACATCGGTCTGTTGCAGAGTACCTCAAGACAAGAGGGTATTTCAAGTAGAATGTTCCTATTCCTACTTACACTATCATGAAGTAGGCTCTTTTGACCTGCATGAGATAACCACTGACAGCCCGATGGAGTACATAACAAGTACAGTGTCAACTAAGTGGATATCTGACACATTTGAAGGTAAGACACATGCTCATCCATAGTAAACCCTAAGAACTTAACATTTTAACTTAGCGCAACATCATGGCCTTCAGCATTAAGAAAGTTATCACCATCTAGAACCTTTTTACCCTTTGAGCGAAAAATAACACAATTGGTCTGTTGAACATTCTACAATAACTGATCACAACAATACCGGGCATAAAGTTTTTGAGTCTCTTGATTTGCAATAAGTAATGAATCTTCAGCCTTCTTATCAGCCAGCAGCGAGTGGTATCATCAGCAAAAAATGAGTATGAGAATAAAGTTGATCAGTGTATTATATAATTTATATAGATTTAAGAGGGGACCAAGCACAGAAACCTGAGGTACACCATATTTAAAAGAAGCAAGTTGGGAACTAGTACCATCCACCACAGCAAATTGAGTCATGTGAAACAAATAGCTTCGGAACCAAAACAATGCTACACCCCGTATTCCATAATGCTCAAGTTTCCTGACGATGATGCTATGTTCCATGGTATCAAGCGCCTTAGATAGATCTACGAATATCTCCAAACAATACTTGTCTCCATCAATAGCTTTTATCATATCACTAAATAAATTTAACACACCCATTTGTGTGGAGAAGGGCTTACGAAAACCATACTGCTGAGGAATCAAGATATTCTTTTTAGATAATTCATTCATTCATTTCGGTTTATTGTGTCAAAATTCCATGTTAAAACAGTCGGGAGACTGATACAAACAAAGATTACAAAGTTCAAAGAAATAAAGAGAAATTACAAATACATGTACATCAATATGGAAACGATCACATATTAGTTCAAGGAATAAATTAACAATAATAATAATGGAAACTTCAATATATTGCACATCATACATAAAACAAATCGAATTTACATACATGGACGAGTGGGGGAAAAGAAGATAAAACAGAGAGAATGGACAAAGCATTTAATTTTCTTTTCTCATAACATTAAGATTTTGAGGCTTTACATTTTAAACACAATTAACATAAATTGATATATAAAACGTCATAGTGATAATATCGGATTTACATCTTTTAAAAATAAACAACTCTATTAGCAAATATGAAGAAAGTTGGAAATTAAGAAATGAAATGGGCACCTGCAGAAGATCTAAAGATACAAGCGTGTGTAAATAATGTGTAAGAAAGTGTAGAAATATCTAAATTAAACTCAGTGTCTCATTCTGGCATTATTGTACTCTATATATATATATATATGTATGCTATGAAGTAAAAAGTTGAAATGGGTGCATAAAACCATGTAAAAGGAATAAAGTTGTTTCATTAATATATGTTGGAACATGAGTATTACACAAATATATATTTTAAGAATTTAAGCCACGTGTATATTCAGGGCACATGTATATATATATATCATGTTACTGAAAACATGTAGGCCTATAGTAGGCATTCATGGGGTAAAAAGCTAAAACTACATGGAAGAATTGAGCATTCGTGTTTAAAACGGGATTGCAGTGTTCCTATTATCGTTGGGTTTTACAACGCGGTAGGTCTAGTAGATGAGCACTTCTAAGTGTTGAACTGTGGCGAGAGGCGCATTGACAAGTAGCAGGTAGCATGTCACGATGCCGTTCAGACTTGAGGAGACCACGTCCAAAGCGCAGAAGGAGAACATTTCTGCGTTCACACAACATAGGCAAGTTGAAACGAGTGAGCCGTTGTGTGTAGGAGAGGTCAGTTAGATACACGATGAAACATAGCGCACGTCTTTGGATTCGTTCGATTTTATCACTCTGGGTATTAGTAATGCCGGAGCCCCAGACAGGGACACCAAATTCCATCAGTGGTCGGATATACGTTTTGTAGATGGTTACAAGATCGTGCGTGTTGACTCCAGATTTCTTGAGAACACACGGAATGTACAGTCTCCGCGCAGCTCGTGAGATCATCTGTTGGACCTGATTGTCCCATGTCAGGTCTGATTGGATCACAACACCAAGGAGAGTCAGGGAATCAACACGTTCAAGATGAACATCTGCGATGGTGATGTCCAACCGGGGAAGAGGATTCTTCAAGAAAGACACTTGCATGGCCTTACATTTTTCGGGCTTTGGCGTCACGTCATTAATGGCGCACCATTCACCGAGCTCATCAACGTACTCTTGTAAGGAACCTTGCTGTTGTTTTTTAGGCAAAACCTCCACCAAACTTAAGTCGTCAACATTCTTCCATCGGTATGTTGACGTTAGGGCAGCATCGTTAACAAGGGCAAGGAATAGGATTGGTTCCAACTGTGTACCCTGAGGTGCCCCGCATGCGAGGCTTTTTGGGCTTGATGTCAGGTCTTGATGTCGAACCACCCGATGACGGTCGGAAAGGAAACTAGAAATGCAATCGTGTCACAACGATGTGCGTGCAATGACGCCATGTTTCTATGTGTCAAACGAAAGAGCTTCTCTCGGACTATCCAGAGCAATTTGTACGAAGTCTGTAGCTTCTGTGATATTGGAGATATGTAGGGCGAAAGAAAGGCCTCAACAGAGACCTTGGTGGGATGGTAGTGACTATGCCTACGAGGTTTGAAAGAAATTGGGATAGGGGGAAGAACCTAGAAAGGGTTCGCAAGCACTGCGTGCAAAAACCAATGGGATTTGGTGCATGTTCATCATTGAAATAAAGATCGTTCTGGGGGCCAAAAGCGTGAACCCGATATGCCCCCATAGACATTGCGTGTAATGCATGGGCGGAGAAGGTACAGGATCTGAATTATGGCCGGCGTTAAATTGTCTTTTTCTCCTTCTCTTTATGCCTCTTTACGGGCCGTATTTGGTATCATTAGAAAGAGAGTTTCATGGTTATTGTAAACTTCTCTCTTTTTTTCTATGATAATCCTATCGAAACACGTGATGTAAAATAGATTTATAGGACAAAATGGCGTCTTTAATGGCCCCCTTGACCAATTTTAGAAATCCGGCCACGAGGTGCCCTGCGTATTGGAACTCGGCATGTCACTGCAAATTTTCAAGAAAAAAAAGGACGTTTAAGGGGCGAAAAGTAGTCTGAAAAAATGATGTCATAGCCGATACTTGTTAGATTCGGGCGGAAACTCGGCGGAATTCGTGTAGTGACCTTTGTTCAAATGCGATTTACTCACAATTTTCTGTGTGAACATATACTATACTTGGTATCATTCGAAAGGACACTTCATTGCTGTCAGTTTGACACCATTGTTATCTCCGCGCAATATATTGCACGCATTAAACGCGCTATTACGTAATGCATAGTAAATTCATCATTGTTGGCGATAACTTTGCAACGAGAGCATTAAAATGTATTAAACTTGGCAGACAGTTGTCACGTATATGGATACATATGTGTGCCAAGTTTCACTGATGTAGGTATAAAGATCGCTATTTTAGAGCAAGTTGAAGTTATTTTGGAATTTTCGTGAAAATGGCGAATTTGGAGGGCATTTTTCTCAAAGTCGGTCAGTGTTAGGGTATATAATTTTGTATATGGCTGGAAAGGGCATATCTTCAAGTATCTAAATCCAAAAAAGGGTACGGATTTGCCAAGCCATAATAGAGATACGGCCACAGAAAGAAAGCCAATTCCCAGAACTTTAGAGGGCGCTATTTATGTTTTACAAAGCCATTGGAGCGTGAAATTTGGCATGGCTATGTGCAATTTGAGATAAAGATACTGTGAGATTTAAATACAAAACGGAATTTATATGAGAAAGTTATGGCAGTTTTAGATTATTTAGGGGTCAATTTTTCAAGAATTTGAGAGATTTTTGACGGAGTCGGTTTCAGATTTGAATTTTGAGTACGAAGATGGCATTTTGAAGGGCAGGTTATGCGTCGCAGATTAAAGAACATCTCTTGGACTATCTAGAGGAATTTGTTGGAAGGTTGTAGGATCTAGGAAAGTGGAGATAGGAAGGAAGCAAGAAAGGCCTTAAAATGGACCAGAAACGGACAAAATGGCGCCTGGATGGTTATGCATGAGTGATTTCGAGAATCGAAGAATGTAGTGACCTTGATGAGATGTTAGAGACTATGCCTATGAAATTTGAAAGGAAAAGGATATGAGGAAAGCACCTAACTAGGAATCACAAGCACTACGTGCAAAACGAATGCGATTTCCTGACGATAAGGAAAACAAGGAAAAGGAGAATATTAATGGGGCAGAATGTGAACGAAAACAAGGCAATGACGAAGGTCGTCATTGCAACTACACACAGTGGGCAGTATTGAAGCATCAACTCTCAGTTGGATCAACTTCTCAATAACCTTGGAGTGATTGACAAGGTCAAATGCTTTGGTGAAATCAATAGTACAAATGTTGACATACCATCCTCGTTGCTCAAGATTCTTGTAGATGACATCCAACATAGATACAAGGTAGTGGTTGACAGAACTTACTTTTATATTGCCGAGCTGCAACGGATCAATGTGGGGTTTAAGATCATCCATAAGCCAGTTGGCAAGAAAACTCTCGAAAACTCTGGCAAGAACAGACGTGATAGAGATAGGTCGAAGCTGTTCAAAACCTGTAATACGTGGGGACTTCGGAATCGCCCTATCAGATGCACACTTCCCCTTTTTGGGGAAATATCCCTTCTTCAGGCACTTATTGAAGATCAAGGTAAGAGGGCCTGAAATTTCCGGCGCAAAATCCTTAAATATGGGAGTAGGAACGTCATTAGGATGAGGTGCCTTTGAGGCGTTGAGGTGTTTAAGACGACTGCAGACTTGGTGCTCGCGAATAAGCGGTGGAGATGTAGATGCAGGAAGATATGCCGAAAGGGGGTAGCGTGTTGCAAATTGAAGAGAAATGCAAATTAATATCATCTGCAAGTTGGCGATTTGATTTATCAGCACGACCAATATTGAACGACGGCTGCTTCTTCATTCCCATCAGGGATCTTATTTGTCTGTGCCATTTTTCCTGGCTCCGAACTCTTGAGATGTTCCATCTTCTTGTGGAAATATACAGATTTAGCTCGGCTAATGGCACGTTGAACTCTGTTCCGTAACTCACATACCCTGGTTGATGGTAGCGATCTAGATCTTCACTGTTGTGTGCTAGTTCGTTGTTCGATCAAGCTGCGGATGTTCTCGTTGAACCACGGTTTGTCTCTCTCTCTTCTTTTGATTGATATCTCTGGGAAACAACGTTTATACTGCACCAGAAGTCCACTGTGGAGAATCTCCACCATTTCATCTATATCATCAGCAGCGTTTAGCTCGGCCCAGTCAAATTCGGTGATCCACTGTCCAAACATTCGAATAGATGAATCTCGAAACGGCCGAAGCTTCAACTTCGTGGCTTTCACAAGCTGAATTGCATCGTCGTGGAGACGGACAACAACAACACGATGGTCACTAGACGCAATTGGTGAATAGACTACTGGTTCACTATACAGGTCAGGGAGATTCGTCAAGATTTTGTCCAAGATGGCATCACTATAAAAACTCTTTTAAGCGTTTATAAATTATTTTCTCAAACATTAAAAAAGAAAATGGTAACAATAGGTTGGCCTATAATTAAGGACATTTTTACGATTACATTCTTTAAACACTGGTACCACTTTAGCTACCTTGAGTTTATCAGGAGCAACTCCCTGAGATAAAGAGATATTAATGATTTTATATAAGGGATCAATAAAAAGGTGAATGGAGTCCTTTATGATTGTTGGTGAATATCAGAACAACTATATTTACATTGTTTCAAAGATGACACAATATCGATGACCTCAGATTTTAAAGTTGGTTTTATTAAAATATGATTAAGAGAAAAGAAGGAACATTATAAAACATGTTTTAAATTAAAGTAACACATAGATACAACATAAGAAGAGAAGAAAATCATGACAATAGTCAATATGTCATAAATGGCTGCTTTAATCTTACCCTCATTTGCATCTGGCTCGAATGTTACTTGGTAGTTTGGTTCTGCAGGATTAACATAGAAAAAATCAATTCTTTAAAGGTAATGCAAAGTTTTGGGAAATTTTGAAAATTTGATGGATAGTAATTCTTTCAAATGTTGATTTATTTGAATGCTCATGTGGATGTATAAGCATTAGACAAATTAGTCCCTAAAACACTTCTGCTTTCGAGAAATTGAATAAATCAACATTTACCGGTGCTCCCGCTAAATTTCAAATATTTCAAATTGCGCCTGAGGCCAAACTACAATGTAGCTGCGACCATGAAAATCTCAGAATATGCAGTTCTGATATATAATTTTCAAACGGGACTAGAAAATCGGTCGATTGTAGTCGATAAACATTGTTTTAGAGCTAAAGTAGTATTAGTCTTGAGAGGGAGCTAATTTCATCACTTTAGACTCGGATTTCAACCGCGACAACGATCATTGAATATTGTCATATCGCATATGCTTCCAATATGTTCATTTGAACCAAATTCATGACCCCATACCAAAACTTTGTATTACCTTTTACATAATCGCACATATCTTATTCATTTTAGTTATAATGTTTTCAGACTGTTTCATTATTTAAATTATTTTAAATTATCATTTTTTGTTTTCAATCATAGTTCTATCTAGCTTCATGTCGCATGATATTTTTTAAGGGAAAAGCAATCTAAGCAACGATTTCTGAATTTTAGCGATAATCGTTTGTCATTGCTGCTATTTAATACTACTATGACAGTTTATTCCACTCGGTTGATTCTATTGTTCGGATTATTTAGCACAGAGAGATAGAAATTAAAATTATCATGGCTATCGACCTTGCATTATTATTCTTATTTGTTCATTGTCTCTGCAATGCTATTCTAGCAATATTGAATGACAATATACGTCACCCAGGTACTATTTTTAGTTAGTGTCACAAGGCAATCACGTGGCAGATACTTGATCATCAGTATCGGGTTTACGAAAATTGAATTTGAACCCAGGCTATACTCTCTCTCTCTCTCTCCATTGCCTTCCCTTTCCCTTGCTTACTTCCTTCTTACCACGGAGTATAAAATGCGCACACGTGTATGCCTCGGTCATAGAGAAAATAATCAGTAATATCGCTGGCATTCATCTCCTTCCCCTTCTTCTTCGTAGTAGCAATAGTCGTAGTAATAGCAGTGGTATCATAATGATTATTATTGTTATCATTATATTCATTATTAGTATTGGTGTTGTTACTAATATATTTATTATCGTTATTATTTTTATTATTATTGCTTTTATTTATATTGTTTTCATTAGTATAATTACTTTTATTATTATTATTCTTATCCTTCTTATCGTAATTATCTTTTCCTATACGTCATGTGTCCAGATTGCTATACTACATCCGAGATGTCTACCAAAACTCTCAATTTGTTGATAAAATATAATTAGGAGAAAAGAAACAACATTGGAAAAAAATGTTTTGAATTAAAGTAAAATATAAAGACAAATATTTTAGAGAAAACAATCGTGACAATAGACAATATGTAATTAATTTTTGTCTAAGCGTACCCTTATTTGCATCTGGCTCAAGTTTTGCTTGATTATTTGGTACTGAATGATTAACATGGACAGCTTAGCTCGTTAACATAATATTATTAGGCCTATGTCTTATTCATTCTAGTTCTAACGTTTTCTGAGTGTTTTCAAGACGATATCATTTTTGTCGATCATAATTCTATCTAGCTTTAAGGGGGAGTTTTGGCCAAAAATGATGAAAATTCGACCCATATAACAAGATTCTGATTTTGTCATATTCTGAAACTACATACTTTTGTTTCCATATTAAAAAAAAAAAAAAAAAAATCAGCATGAAAAAATTGAGAGAAAGCTATAAAATTAGCGGTTTTGGTAGTTAGAGCAAACTTTTCATGCGTGACCTTGAACAAAGAATCTAAGACAATATATTTATTTTTATGTCAATTAAGTTAATTACTTTTGTTTTTCTTTGTACAAATACAAACATTATAATGGAAATATCAATTGTTGAAAGTATGAGAAAACTTCATAATAAAAAAAAATCAATTTAAGTTTTAAAAAACGTAACATTTATCGTCTTCTCTATATTGTATTTTCATAATTTGTATTGTGTCTCAGAAAAATTCGAAAAAGTGAGCTTATTTTTCTCTTTATTTTTCTAGGAATTCGTTTTTTGATTGATTGTCCGAATTCCAAATAGGATAACTCAAGAGTGGGATGTCTGATTTTGTTCAAACCTAACATGTTTTTTGATGAAATGTGTTTCTACGAGGTGATCTATTTAGATCTCCATTAAATGTTTTAATTTTCTTGTAATAATGTCATGAATAGATAAAAAGCTCCGAAATGATAAAAAACTAAATAAATTACATATTCATTAGATCATTAAAAAAAGGAAAAAAATGCATGTTGATAATTTAAACCCTAGGGAAATATTAAAAGAACATATATGTGACAAAAATCAGCTTTCTTGTGTGAATTGTATTCAGTTGAGCCAAAGATTTAAAAATATTGGCTAATTTGCATAATTTAATGCTAGTTAGCGTTTAATGGTGAACATTTTTACAATCATAATCGTCCTTGATATATAACCTTTCCATGCATATATGGTTGTGTATGGTTATCCTTGCAACTTCCTGTGGAAGTTGGTCAAATATGAGTATACTACCACTTCCCTGTAACCCCCCCCCCCCCCCCCTTAAGTCTCAGGGTAACTTTTAGAGAAAGGCAATCTTTCGTCTGTTCGATTTCTTTCTTGTGAGTGTGTGTATATGGTCAGCATGTGTGTTTGTTTGTCTTTCCGAGCTAGAAAATCGAATTCAAGTCTACTCCTGCCATACCGTTTCATTAACCGAGCAGGAGAGGCTATAACCATAGGGTTTTCCCATTCAGTGGCGGTCCTCCGGGTCGGAAAAAATCGCTTCGCTTGCGTGTAGATATATATATTAACAAAAATACACCTCCGGGGGCAAAGGGGGCATATGCCCTAGGCAGCACTTGAAGCGGGAGCAAACAGAGAGGAGGGCATAAAGAATATGCAGGTTAAGTGCATTATAAATAGAGCTTTTGGAGGACAAAAAGTGCAAATTTTACTAAAGCTCTGTCGCTTTACTCTTTACTACTTTGTCACGCAGGATCTCGTAACTTTGCGCAGCAATATAGGATAACGTTTATGAAATATGTTATGTTTAAAGGGTTCAATAACCAAATTAGAACATCCAATTCTTGTTGCTTTACTGCCCTTTATTCAAGTTTCTTAAGCCTCTAGTACATTGCGCCGCCAATATACTAGTTTGTATTGATAAAAGGCATCTATAATTTCAATATTTCAAAGAAATCTTCGACTTCCCCAAGGTTTCTCGTTAATGTTGAGCTTTAATGACACTGCGAAAAAAATTGAGAGCATTCGGAAAGATGAAGGAAATGGGGGAAAACGTGAGGTACGATAGTTTGCTCGAAAATACTCATTAAAGATTATACCATTTTATGAATGCACCTCTTACAACAGGTTATGATTATGACGAGTTTATTTCATATTGAGTAGGAAGCCTGTTAACAAAAACTGACTTTTAATATATATAGTTCGTGGATATCCCTGTTACAGTGGTTATATAATCTCGTTATCTTTACCATATTCACATTCTTTTAACAAGGTAAAACATTATTATCGGTAATTGTGCAAGAGAAGAAACTCGATTATTTGTTTTTCTTTAATAGGAAAAATATAATAGGCATAAAGATGAACAGAGTATCTCCGTCATAAATGGTGCTCTGAAATATAATTGTTATAATGTTATTGATTATTGAATAAGGCACATGAATGTTCTTAGTAGCAAAAGACCTCTCCCAGACAAATTTGGAGTCTTTGGTTGAGTGAATTCTTTTTTTATCAACTACATTAGAGAAATTATTGTTGTTTCAAACTCTTTGCTTATATAGACTCTCAAAATTTGTTAGACCAAGATGGGTATATTGTATCGAGAATTGGTCAAATGGCACTCGATATTTTTGCGTTTGATAAACAACACACATAAATTACTTCTTTTTCCTATTTTCAGAGGATGGATGTGACACATATGATAATACATCAATCATTGTTGCGGGGGTCATCATAGGCTTGTTGATGGTGGCCAACGTCATATCACTCATCAAAAGTAAGTACAGGCATTATATTTTCACACTCCAACAAGAATTATGATTGTGTGCCCGATAACTTTCAGCTTGTTCGTTATACAGGTTGTTTGAGGATTTGTATCTTAAAAGTGGTTTTTATTTTATTTACTTTTTTTGTTTTTTGGTAAACGGTGGGAGTTCTTAAAAGATGACAATTGTTTGTCTACTTAAATAGGAATATATAGCACAATTGCATGAAAATTCTTTCTGGCATACTACGGAAGAAAGTCAGAGTAAATTTTCATGGCACGTACTATTTAAGGTCTAAGGGTCTACCATGCACTATTTTGTTTAAAAGACCGCAAATACCAAAGAACTTTCAAGAAGTATAAGCTCTTTTTTTCCCCTTACCTTTTCACCTTTTTTTTATGAATCCATTTGTTCCTTAAAGTCATTATTTCGGTCGGAAGTTGGTATTTATTTTGACTGAAAGATGATTTTTCCAAGCGATGGCGTAATGCCTGACAGTTTTTTTTACGCCGTGAATTACCTCTCATGTAAGCATCAATTCCTTTTGATAAGGTCTAAGGGTCTACCATGCACTATTTTGTTTAAAAGACCGCAAATACCAAAGAACTTTCAAGAAGTATAAGCTCTTTTTTTTCCCTTACCTTTTCACCTTTTTTTATGAATCCATTTGTTCCTTAAAGTCATTATTTCGGTCGGAAGTTGGTATTTATTTTGACTGAAAGATGATTTTTCCAAGCGATGGCGTAATGCCTGACAGTTTTTTTTTACGCCGTGAATTACCTCTCATATAAGCATCAATTCCTTTTGATAATTGTGTTTGTTTTATTTCTCTCCCGTTACAATTCACTTTTGTTTTAAAGTGAGAGAATTTCACCGGGGCGTGAAGAATCGCAAGGCCATGGAGATGATTTATCCTCCTATGAACATAGGAGCGGCTTGAGGGGGCCTCAATTCATGTGTGATGAACATAATTTAGATGCTCAATAGATGCTCTTATTTATACAAGAGATTCACAAGCTTAGTTTATTTTCTATATTCTCCCATTTTTCACTATATATATATTTGTCTAATTTCAGTTAAAATACCATTCAATTGTATCTACTGTATATCTCCTTATGTTAATTGACTTTATTATTATTTACATGGCCTTCCATTTTTTTCGTGATATGAGAATGATTTATGTAATGAATGTGAACGTAAAATTTGTAAAATATATAACTAAACTGAACGGAGAAATGAACTGAGTCGCAATTTAGTGTACGCGTTTCCTTAGCCCGGATCTCCTAGATTAAGAGAGGAAAAGTAGTACATTATCCCAGAAGAAAAGAAATTAAATCAAATTATTTCTTTGAAAGCGATACATAAAGGATTAGCAAACCCATATTTTAACAGTTAATTGTATTTAAAAAATACATTTTACTGAAGTCGATACTAGAAAAGGTCGCATTTTTGTATTTAATAGTTCGTTGCAGTGTTTTCGTGTGTATACTCTTTCTAATCCTTTTCATCTTTTCTTCATGACATTGTACAAGTGCGTTCCTTTTTTAAAATAAAGACCTCGACACTACAGTCAAAATAACAATTTTCAATGCACGTTCAAGAATCTGAATTTTAAATTATGTCCCTCTGCTCGAAGAAAAAAATGAACAGGACATTGTATGGTTTACACGTGCAAAATGCTCCTATTTTTGTATCGACTGAAATCGGAATCGCGACGTACTTATAGAAATAAATCTATTGTTCACACAAAAAATGAATTGTAATTAAATATTTCTCGATATATATGGAGTCTTGGGGGAATTTACACTAACTGAAAACTATTGATTCACTGGGCCTAACGTCATTAAACAATTGAATAACTGGGAAAGGACAAAAATGTGTGAAAACTTGCAATATCAATTACCAGCTTCTACAGCTACTACAGGCTCCGAATAGACAAGATCGTGGTTTTTAGACCAGTATTTGTCTAGTATATTTTGTAAACACTTTACAGAAGTTGCTGAGATAACATATTCAGGCAGACTGTCCCACCAATACACAATTATGTTAGTAACAAAATCCTTTCTCATATCAAGCCGAGAGTACTGTTTGTCTAGATTCATTTTATGCCATCATGACCTCCTCTGTGTCAGCTAAAAATAATTATGTTGTGAATTATATACTCCTGTTAAATACTTAAAAACATCAATCTTATCACGTTTCCTCGCCTATGAGCAAGAATCTGTAATTTGAGTTCAGTGAGGCGTTCCCGATTGGACATATATATTTCCGTTTTTGTTAAATCATGTGTAATGCCCCCCCCCCCCCCCCTCTACACACTCTCCGACTTACTCTGCTTATCAAGTTTATTGTTGTTGTTATGTTTTCATTGATGATAGTTATTGAATAGAATTGTTACCAAACATATTTGGAGGAATGTGCGACCCTGTATAAATATCAAAAATATGTTATTAAATGAATATATCAGGCATGCATTCATGTATACATATATATATGCTACGGTGGTAGTCTCATGTACTGATAAGTTCAAGTTCAAGTTTTATTTCCACATCTGATTTAAAAAAGCACAAGTACAATTTATATGCATATATATATATAATAACAAACGTTAAAATGAAACATCTTCAATTTAAATCGTAATGTGGTGGGTAAAAAGAGGCAAATGGCCTATCAAGGTTATTCCCAATGATAATAACATTTATAACAATTTTTTTTTTTAATTACTAAAAACGAGAAAGAAATACAAAGATTAAAATAACACAAAACATCAATGTATAGAATTTAACCAGACAAATCCATTACAAAAAATAAAAACAGAATGAAAGGCATTTATGTAAAAATAATCCTAGTTATATATATATATTCAGTTAAAGATATTTCTTAAACTTTCTTTTAAAAATTGATACTGTTGGGCATATTTGAAGTTCTTTAGGCATTTTGTTCCATAATTGTGGTCCGGCATAAATAATTGTTATTCCTGAGAAGTCATAAGTAAACATTGGTAGGTGGAAAAGATTTGATTGGCGAGTTTCATAATTAGTCACATTTCTATTGCATATAAAACAATCGTCTGGAAACTTTGTTTAGAGTAAGAAAACATGAAGATATCATAAATTATATTTTATATCATAAATCGTTAAAATACTATGTTTTTAATTACAAGAGCAGTGTGGGGGGAAGGATGTATTAAAGTTGAATATAATTCGTATAGCACGTTTCTGAAGAATTAAAATTCGATTTAAATACGTTTTAGCACAATCTCCCCCCACACTATATTACAATAAATAAGATAAGGTAGAATCATGGCATTATACAGGTTAAGAAGAATATTAGAAGGTACAATTTTTTTAAATTCTGTTCATTGCACCAAAAGCTTTAGATATTTGACATGATACATAATGTAAATGTTCTTTCTAAGTCAGTTTTGTTGTCAATTCTTACTCCTAAAAAAGTTGTAGAATTTACTATCGATATTTTTAGTTGGTTGATACTTATTTCCATACAGGATGTATTAATATTTGGGAGCTGGCTGAAATAACACACAGCATGTTTTTGTGCATTCAATTTTAATTTATTTGTTTTAGACCATGTATCAATCTTTTTAAGTTCCGTATTAAAAGTTAAACGCAACGTATCAATATTTTTAATTATGTATCAACTAATAAAGTTTTCTTCTGAGCATCTAACTAGATTTCAAGCATAATTATTGCATGGTGTTACACGTGAACGTGACTGTTGATATATACCTGAGCTATTAAGTATGATCTTCTTCTTCTTCTGGTATACTCCTCAACGTTCCGTAAGGAACCAAGCGAGGAGGATGAGGGGGTGCGCACTATGCTTGTTTAGTTATTATTGCTTGAGTCTTGGTTGCGGAAAAAGTTGGTTGCTTGGAGTTTGAAGGTGTCGATGTTCGTGGTCCTTTGGATGTCGGAGGGTAGTGAGTTCCAGTCCTTAATGGTACGTGGAATGTAGGAGTGTTTAAAACAATTGGTGCGGGTGGAGTATTGGATGAAGGAGTTTCCTGAGGTACGTCTGGTGGCTCGTGTAGCTGGACGCAGGTAGTCCGACACCGGCAGGGCCAAGTGCCCCCCAAGGCTTTGTGCAATATACAGACCCTCGAAACTTTCCTTCGAATAGAAAGCAAGTCCCATCCTAACCCCACCATTAATTTTGTCGCGCTGGTAGTTTGCCTATAGTCATTGCATACCATTCTGGCTGCCCTTCTTTGAACCTTGCCAATTTCCTGCGTATGTTCTTTGGTGTATGGGTCCCAGACACTAGAACTATATTCTACAATTGGACGGACTAGGGTTGTGTAAGCTAAGGATTTAGTTTGTTTAGTACATGATATAAGGTTTCTACGGATGAATCCATTGACCTTATTTGCAGATGATGTTATGTTAGAAATATGTTTATCCCACTTTAGATCATTGGATATCTCTACCCCAAGGTACGAGTGAGAGGGGGTTTCCTGTAATACGGTACCTCCAATGGTGTACTTGGTTATTACAGGGGATCTAGAAGCGTTAAATCTAAGAACATGACTTTTTTTTTTTTTGGGGGGGGGGGGGTAAGTTGCATTTGCCACTTATCCACCCATGCAGAAAGTCTGTCAAGGTCGTCCTGTAGTCTGGTAGCGTCAAGTTGAGTTTTGATGCCAGAGTATAAGATACAGTCGTCAGCGTATAGTCGTACAGTCGAGGATAACTCGTCCGGTATGTCGTTAACGTAGATTAGAAAGAGTAAAGGTCCGAGCACTGTCCCTTGAGGAACGCCCGACTTAACCCTAACCCACTGTGAATGTTCCCCCCCCCCCCCAATACTACCCGTTGGTGCCTGTCTTGTAAGAAAGATGAGATCCACCTGTTGGTTTTCCCATTGATACCGTACTGATTAAGTTTAAGGATGAGACGATGATGGGGCACAGTGTCGAACGCTTTAGAAAAGTCAGTAACGATCATGTCAGTCTGGGTCCGTTTGTCGAGAGAAAGGGTAAGGTCGTGCATGGTTTGGATTAGTTATGATTCACAGGAATGACCTTTCCTAAATCCGTGTTGGTATTTACTGAGTACGTTGTACGATTCAAGATGATTCATTATATGGGAGTGTACAACATGTTCTAGTAGTTTACAGCATACGGAAGTGAGAGATATTGGTCTGTAGTTTTCAGGTTCAGTTCTATCACCCTTTTTGTGGATAGGTGTGATGTTGGCTTTACGCCAGTCTTCGGGTAAATTGCCTGTATCAAGAGATGCTTGGAAGATTTTGGAAAGAAGTGGCGCCAATTCCTGGGAAAACTCTTTTAGAATACGGGGGGAAATCTCGTCGACCCCGGAAGCTTTTTTTGGATCTAGGTTCTTAAAGAGTTTTTCGATACCTGGGGTATGAATGATTATATTATCTACACCTAAGATATTAGATTGCGGAAGATTAGGAAGTGTTTGTAGGTTTTCTGTGGTGAATACTGAACGAAAATATTCATTGAGTATTTCGGCCTTCTGTTGTCCTCTGATGTGAGGACACTCTTTTCTTTTAAGGCAGGTACTCCAGAGGAGTCCTTCCTGAGGCTTTTGACGAAAGACCAGAACTGTTTTTTTTTTTATTCCAAGCAAAATTCTCTAATGTGTTTTCTGTAAGCAGATCTGATCAACTTATGGGTCTCTTTTCTGATTTCCCTGTAACTCTCCCAGTCACCGTCGTTTCCTAAATTTCTGGCCTTGTTATAGACCCGTTGTTTGCGTCTGTGCATTCGCTTGATTTTTGGGGTTATCCAAGGGGTTTTGTTTTGTTTACTAATGACCTTAGTGGGAATGAAATTATCCATAATGTTCTTCAGTCGAGTCTTGAAGACATTCCATAGATGTTTAACAGGCTCAGTGTTTGATATTGTAGCACAGAATTCCCCACCAAAATTGTTCAATTCTGTTTTCATTCCTGTTTTGTCTGCTTTGGCATACAGGTAAACACGACGTGGTTTAGGTTTAGAAATTTAGCGAACTTCAGGAAGGGTACAGCTGTATGATTTTGGCATGACCGGAAACAAAGTCAATGCAATGCTCCTTTATTTATAGGTACAGAAAGTGACCAGAAACTACAGCAACTTTGATCCTTCAATGGGTTTGAAAAACCAGTGTCATGGAGCAATTGAAGCCTCCATCACCCTTAGATTTGGAAGCCAGGAAACGTCCTCACGTCAGGAAATTATGGAGGGAAGAATTTTGGCACTACATTGATCTGTCTATCACAGCAGATGAAAGGGGAAAATAAAACTGCTTTATGCCTGGTAGGAGTACATGGTGGAAGGCTGTTCAAGACACTAAAGACAGAGTCGGCCCCTAGTACCGAGGAGTCTCATGAAGGACATGAAGTTACTTTAAAGGCGGTGCTAGATGCCTTTGAGAAACCCTGCAACCCACCCAAGAATGAAACTGTTGATAGATATACAGTTTTCACGCGCCAGCGAGTTGGTGGTGAAACACTGGAATAGAACGTGACAGAGTTGAAGTTGCTAGGAGCTAATTGTAATTTCAATGATCTCCATGATTCTCTGATTCATGACAGAACCATTTGTGGCATCCAGGATGATGGGCTAAAAGCGAGACTACGGCGTGAGACTGGATTGACGCTCGATAAATATCTTCTGATTTTTAGAGCAGCGGAATTGTCACAGAAGAGGATGACAGTTGAAGCTGAAGTTGAATCCAAAGATGAGTGTTTAGACTGTCCGACCATGCAAGTACTGTGGTAAAAATCATGCTGCTGACAAGAATAGGTGTCCAGCATATGGCGAAAAATGCAACAAATTCCGGAAGGAGAATCACTTTGCAAGACGTCACTGTCCAAAACCAGAAAATAACGGCAGTGGTACGGATTGAGTGCCTACTGTAGATGCTGAAGAAGAAATGCGAGATTTCTTCGGTAATGTCATCAAGTCATCAGAGAACTCAGGAGACTGGAGTTTTGATCTAAAGTTTGGCTCCAAAAAAAGGAGATTCAAACTGGACAATAGTGCCCAGTGTAACTCATACCATCAGCGGTACAACAAAAACCGAGATCGCCTCTGCGTGAGTCAAGTTCAAGGCTGGTGTTGAGCTCAGAGCATAGGATACATCCAGTAGGCAAAACAACGCTCCTTTATGAACATAAGGAAATATTGTATTACCTTGAGTATCAGGTTGTTGGTAAGCATGTACAACCAATGCTGGGACTCAAATCCTGCCAACAACTTGGTTTAATCAATAGAGTGGATAAAGTCGATGCAGCACAGGACACTTGTAATGTCAAAGAAAGATATGCGGATCTATTTCATGAAGTAGGTAACATGCAAAGTATACATCAGATCAAGGTCAGAGATGATGCCATCCCCAAATTGCATACTCATCAAAGGCTATCTGTTGCGCTTCGAGAGAAGGTCGTATATGAGCTGAAGAGGGTGGACAATCTGACGGTCATTGAGAAGGTGACAAAACCATCCTCCTGGATTAACAGCATTGTCACTGTGGCCAAAAAAAACACAATGATAACGTGAGAATTTGCCTTGACCCACAATAACTGAACCCAGCCATTAAGAGGGAGCACTTGACTTAAAGACTATGGAGGAGGTAGTATCGAGTATCCCCACTGCCAGAGTATTCAGGACTATCGATGACAATAGTGGATACTTGCAGGCTAAGTGAGCTCAGATTAGTGAACCTTTAATACACCATTCGGAAGGTATAAGTTTACCAGAATGCCTTTGAGATTAAATCTACTCCTGAAATCTCCCAAGGAACTATGTCACGGATGTTGGAAGACCTGGGAGGCGTAAATGTTGTGATAGACGACATCTTGATATGGGGAAAAACAAGACAAGTAAATGATGAACACATAGAAGCTGTGTTCAAGAGGCTGCAAAATACCGATGTAAGACTAAATGAAAGCAAGTTTAAATTCGCAGTAGCCATAACAGTGGTCACTTGCTGACTGCTGATGGCCTAAAAATCTGAAATGATGAAAGTAGAAGTAGTCAAAAATATGAAGCAGCTGACAAACAAAAAAGAACAACACAGGTACATATTGTATATATGCTACAGTGGGAGTCTTATATACTGATAAGTATGTTTCAACTAATACATTTGAATACATTTTCTTGTGAGTTTTTATCTAGATGTCAAGCATAATTATTACAGATTGAAGAATTAAAATAAATCATCGTTTGAATGATTGCTGAGTTGTTGGCTATTAGGTGAATCACTCGAATTCTTAGACGCCCCGCAACTCATAAAAGGAAAGTGAAAACTAAGATATTTTGTCATTAACTCATTTATTTCCAGTTAATTATTTTACTTGTTTCCTACGGGCATGAATTTACACCGGCATAAAGATAATGTTACAATGTAGCAACACACATCCGTGGACACCCCTCCCCCCGCACACACACTTCCGGTTTTAGACCCACCTTCATATTGTCGTTGACATCATTTTAACAGTAGCAAAGGCTGAATGGGATGGATTACAACTAGATCTTTGCAACGACATTTCACATTATCTATACAAAAATAAAAAAAGACATCAAAGTAACAAATATTAAGAAATCTAAGATGTTAGAATGACATAATTCAGTTTATTACATGGGCATAATAAGTATGCACGATAGAATTGTATTGCAAAATGTGATAATTTCAACAGAAGAAGAAGGAGAAAA